TTAGCTCTTGCAACAACAATAATACCATTCTCTCTGTCGAATCCAGTCGTTCTGCTTACTATCGGTGTCGCCATCTTGGTTGGTGTGCAAAATGTTGAGACTTGGATTCAGTGTGACGTCGAAATAATTGCCACATTTATGTGACGCTCGTCCACACGGGAAATTATCGATATGTGACAATTACATAAAAACTAGCATGCCAGCTTTCCAGTAACTACAGTTGTCACATAAAATTTGTCCAACTTTGCTCATCTACCGCGGGCAATTAAAAATTGTCACATAAAAATTGCTCGTCTAGACGGGGCTTAATTCACAGGTCTGAAGTTCAAGACTCAGAGGAGCTGACATTTCATTAGATTTCTTTCTTTACCAAWAAATAAATAAATTCAATCAAATATAGAACAGGGAACCCGGTAACGGTAACTTAATGAAAAAATTAATAAAGAACAATGAGAATAAATAAATAGTTTTGAACACAAGTAACGCAGGCTCAAGTTTACAGGAAAGTGAGTGAGTGAGTGAGTGAGTGAGTGAGTGACAGATTAGTCCCCCTCCAATAACTCTTCGATTGCTTCGCAATCTTCGAGTTAAAAATCACATCATGTTTCAAAGTCTCGTAAACAATCTTAACAATTATCGACCTCAGCTTTTAATAATCCAGTTTCGAATTCTCCAATGCTCTGTGTTAGCCTCATTTGTGCGCAAAATATTCCTAATTGTGAGAATAAAAGTGTGACATTTCAAATCAATTCTATTGTGTTTTTTTTCAAATTCCATTCATTTTCTCGGCCTATCAATGAAACTAAGGAATATGTTACTTGGTTTTGAGGCTAACACAGAGCAAACCAGAACTCGAAATTGGAGTATTTGGCAGACAGCATCGACCTATTTTCGCGCACTTTTCTCTGACAATTTTGGTGATTTTGTGCAAGAATTATCTCTAAAATGAACGTCCTTAAGAAATGACCCTTTATTACAATCTCTGTGATGAGTTTTGAGAAAATTGACTTTGAAGAAAAATGAAGATGTTTTTTATTTTGCATTGATTATCCAAATAGCTTCCATTTTTTGGCAAATTAATCTATAAATAAGAATTATCGATAATTACTTATACTTCTGTGAAAATTTGAGTGCAATCGAATCGAAATTTGCGACGTAGTTGAAGTTTAAAAATACGCGCGAAACGCTATTTGTAACGATCGAAACACCTTAAGCCGCCGTGATCTCAGGTCTCTTTGCGCCATGTTATTTAATGTTGCGAGATTTATATTAGTCTCCTTCAAAAAGGGGCAATATGCCGGACAAAAGGTCTTCAAAGGAGACTACGAGAATAAGTGTTTTAGTTTATTGTGGCGTGTGGAGGTTTCAGGCTGTATAATCCATTAGTTAATATTAGCCAATATTTTTATTTTATTAAACACCAAGTTTGATATAGCAAAGTACACTAAATATTTGATTAGCTGGGAAACGGTACATGAATTATTTCATTGGTTAGCTTGGCAAAACATTGTCCGATGTGTCGTTTCTTGAAACCTCGTGGTATTCCGCGACAGGATGAAAGGTTCAGATCTTCAAGCTTTGTGCAGTTTTTCAAAATGAACCTTAAAAGAAATGAAACAGCGAACTTTTAAAGCCTGTCTACGGGTATACTTTAGATGGATTCCTGCAATATGGTTGAATTGACTTATGTACAGTTAACCATTTATAAATGAAAAAAAAAAGAATTAATATTTTACCCTATTCCTGTAACAGTGACTCCTGTAGATGTTAAATCGAGACTCTTCAAATTCTGAAGTGGGTATCTTTGGAATAGTAGTAGGGTATCGTCTCGTATGGGATTATTACCAAGATCAAGATATTGAAGACTGTAATTCCACTGGTAGCATTAAAAACAAACAAAACATTGTAATATAAGAATCCATTTCAAAATATTAAAAACAAATGTCTTAAATTTAGTCAATGAGAGTAAAGAATTGCATATTTTACACATCTTACACATGAAGTATTGTCATTATAAGTAATAAATTATCATTATCATTATTAGGCTCGAACTTGACATTGATGAAAGAAGGCCACATTGATAACTCTCCACATTGACAACCTGAATTAACCATCCTTGGGTCATCTTTCAATCTACAACAAAGTAGCGATAACAGCTGACATTTGCTGGCATTTGCTGGCATAAATTTGTTTATTCCTTTTACTCTTTGGAGAGCGAAACTGACCAGCCATGATAGTGAACTACAATCTCTTTTAAATGAAAATGAAGTAAAACATCTGTTTGATATCTGTAAAATTTGAACATCTAAAGACTTTTTTAAGTTCATAGTGTGAGATAGGAGTAAACCCAATATGTGAAGCAAGAATACAGTATACTGGATGTAAAGAGGAATTCCGATATGATGAAGTGAAGTCAGCGTTGAATGCATACCGACGGATTTTAGCGCTAGACCAGCAAGGATTAAGACCTATGTACAGACCAAAGGGATGGAAGAAAGCTGAACGCGACGAGAAGAAGAGAGAAAAACGAACAAGTTGGTACAAGAGAGGAATATACTCGAGTGTTATATTCATACCTGCAACACCTAACTCAGAGTTAAGAAAAATTCTAGAGGAAAACGTGAGGAAATCGGGAGTAGGCATAAAGAATGTGAAGAGGGTGCTGCAAAGATCTAATCCGTTTAGGAAGAAGGGATGTAAAGAAGAAGAGTGCCTGGTATGTCGGACTGGAGTTGTTGGACCGCGTAGAACACAGGGTATAACATACGAAATCGAATGCAAGTCATGTAAAGATAAGTTTATAGGTTAAACATCAAGAAACGCGTTTACTAGAGGAAGAGAGTATATAAAAAGTGTCGACTCTCACACCAGAGAACATTCGATCTAAAGAGACACTGCTATGAAATGCACGGAGGTATCTTACAAGACTTTGTAATGAATGTCACAGGAACATACAATCAAGACCCAATGCTACGACAGATAACGGAATCGGTGAGGATAAGAAGGAAGGAAGAAGATCTATGAACACCAAAACAGAGTGGAACATTGTTTTGATACCACGTGCTAATATTGAACTATCATAACAATACTTGTTGTAATCTTGCTTTTAGTCATGGCTGTCTACATCTAATTGAAGAAACTTTGTCGGGTCCAAAAATCATAGAAGCTAAGACCGAAAGGGTACTTGGGAAGACAAACAATTTGGCTAATTTCATAACAAACAGCTCTCCAGCATAAAAGACTATCATGTTGATAATCTTACTAGCTCTACCTGCTTTACGGTACATCTTATATGCAAATGTAATCCCAATTTAGTGGTACTCAAAATCCCTTTCGGTCTTAGCTTCTACAGTATGATGTGACCTCTCCGAAGCACAAGAAAATAGCTCTTACCCACCCTGCTATACTAGAAATAACGTCGAACCCCCCCAACTATTAACCTTAGTTATAAAACAAGCACAAGCGAGTCGAGTCAGCTGTATAAGCAACCCAAAATTCACTAAAGACGAACCCAGATGCAAGAGGTGGCTTACTCATCTGGAGTAAGTGTAAGTGACATCGAAAATTATGAACATTTTGAATGAAACTTAAGGTCCCCCTCTGTTAATTAGGTAATTTTACTTTGAGTCCTCCTATCTTGCCATCAATTTTATGTAATGCCCCCCCTGGTTTTAGGTCCCCCTCCTGGTAATTATTGCACAGTCCCTTACTAAGCTTTTTTCTGCTTTGGATAGTTTCTTAACTGCGGAAAGAATGCAATCAAAATATTCCATAGGACCCTCGCCCTTCAGTATCTGACGCAGGACTTGAAGTTGACTCTTAAACGTTTACAACTTGATGTCGTCACATATGCCTCCGCGGCCCCTACGACAAGTTTGTATTACAAGCATGGCACTTTGAGATTTTTCGACTGCCTGGCGTTTAGTCCCAAAACAAAACGTCAGGCAGTCAAATCTTTTTTTTTGAAAAATCGTCGAAACTGTATGTAAACTGTAAAGTGAAGGCCGTTTTCTGGGTCTTTGGTTTCTGAGACCTCCAAAGGGAGATCGCCAAGAATCTTATTACTTTTACCTTGGTTATTACAGCTGTTACCATGGTAATATTGGCATCAGTACTGGCTAGGTACAGTGTTTCTAGAGATGTTGCGCAGAGATTCTGTAAAAAGAAAATAATGAGAAATTATTTATTATGAACAGGTTGAATTCAAGTCAATAATTGGCAATTAATCACAATAACAGCTCAAGATTAAGCAATGTTCTCGTGACCGAAGAACGGCCATTGACAAATGGCATACAGTTCTTATTCAAAACACTGGAAACTGAAAATCGCGCGCCATAAAGGTTGTAAATTTGATGTAAATATGATGTAAGTGTCCAAAATGATGTAAATTTGATGGAAATGATTTACATCAACTTACATCATTTTGGACACTTACATCATAATTACATCAAATTTACAACCTTTAAAGCGCGCGATTTTTTCCAGTGATATGTTATTAGATTGTTAAGAATTTGACCGAGCCAACTGAGGAGGAGAGGCTAAAACGTCTTTGCTATAGAAATATACGAGCCATCGGTACCGTCGCAACAAGCGCGTAACTTAAAAACTTGCAAATTTTTTCCCTTGTTTTTTGTAGACTATCACTAACCGTTAAGTATTGGCAATAACTCTCTCCCGAATTGAAAATGGTGAAAATTGAGCTTCAGCGCCGTCATGTAATATTTTTTGAGAAATAAACTCGCTTTTTCTAAAACAACGTTTTTGAATATTTTATGTTTCACATGACTTTTAGAAAGAGAGAATCTATCCCCCAGCAACCATCATAAGAACCGCTCATTCTATTTTTAACCTTGAGGTACTTTGGAAACGGAATGTAATTGGCCAGTCGTAGGAGGCCGAGTCGCATCGCTAAGACACTTAACTGAAATTTGCAATGGTCGAACTTGAAGCAGAATCAACAGAAAATATAGGTAGCGAGAACTATTTTTTATTGCTCGGTCCCGGAAGGCCAAGAGCTTAGTTCTGCTGATACAAATCCGAGTGGTCAGAAAATTTCATCTTGTGACGACGCAAACGCGTCAAAATTCGCGAGAGGGCAAGGCCACTGACGGACACCGGCAACCTTAGGTCATAAACTCGACGATTAGCTTTCGACCGGAAAATCTTTTCGAAGTTTCTCCGAAGAGCGATCAAATAGTCTTTTTCAGAACCCCCCCCCCCCCCGTCTTTTTTACGAAAAGTCAGAAACATTCGGAAGCACATGGAGCGATGGCAGTCCTTCTTGAAAACAAGTACGTCTCTGATGGAGAAGTGGTTCTTGAACTGATCGTTTGACCAGGTAAATCTATTTACATTTCTAATATATCTTCAGCAAATACGTAACGTTTTATCAGATATCTGTTTCTTTTAAGTAATCATGCATACTTTAATAGAAATGTTGCTTGCTACATAACTCAGTACAGCCGTCGATGCCGACCACAAATATAATCGATTTTGAATGTGAATATGAATGTTACAACAACAAAAAAGTTCTTTCAACAAATAACACCGAACAAGTACAAACAGACAAAGAGTGCAACTGCAGAAACAAGAATGAATGCCCCTTAGAAGGAAAATGTCTGCAGACGAATGTCATATACCAAGCGACAGTAACAACAGAAACGATAAAAGAAACATACATAGGACTAGCCACAAACTTCAAAGAACGATACAGAAACCACAAATGTTCACTTAGGCCCGTTTCAGACGTCGATCTTTTGCCGCGTCTAATCTAATTGCTCGCATATAGTTCACGAGACGTTTGCAGTCTACATCGATTGATATTTGCAGATTATAATAAGTTTGTCCAACTGAACAAAATCTGCCAATGTCAATAAATTTAGAGTACAAAATGCTCATAAACTCAACTACACCAATTAGATTAGACTCGGCAAAAGATCGACGTCTGAAACGGGCCTAAGGCCCTGACAAAACGAAGAAACGAAACAGAACTGTCAAAGTACATCTGGAAAYTAAAAGAAGAAAAGAAAGACTATAACATTAAATGGAAAATAATCAAAAAATGCCAACCTTACAACAATATAACCAAAAAATATAACCTTACAACAATATAACCAAAAAATGTAATCTATGTCTAAGCGAGAAATTTATCATATTTGTAAAAAACACTTCCTTAAATAGACGAAATGAATTAGACAGCCAATGTCAACACAGAAATAGATTCACGCTAAGAAACCATGTAATATAACTCTACCGGATGTAAACTGGATAGCGTTTTTAAACTACCAGCAAACTTTAACGGTCATTCATTCATTGTAACTTGCCTGACGAGTGTGGCCTTCTCTGATGACCATACGAAACCAGCTTGTAGCAATAAAACAATGAATCATTCTAGTCTTTAAGTACAATTTTATTTTAGGACATTATTTTAGGATTTTATTTTAGGATTTATTTATTTATTATTTATTTATTTAGGATTTATTTATTTATTCTATTTTAGGATTTTATTTTAGGATTTTATTTTATTTTTTTATTTTATTTTATTTTATTTATTTTTTATTTTTAGAAGGCCGAAGTACGTACATTAAAAAGTAGAAAACAAGTTGCAAGTTGTGTGACTTTTTCTTCAATTTGTTCTATTTATACATATATATTTAAGACCCGAAGCCCGAATGAGCTACGGTTCAATAGCCCACGAGACCAAAGGTCGAGATGAGGGGGAGAGGTCTAATTGTTTTAGTATCCAACAATTGTTTTTATTTTACTTACGTTTTCTAGATTTTGAGAAACAAAATATTTTCATTTTTTGCGAATTGAGTAGAAAAAAGCAAATTTACAAAGCACTCGTGCTTCTAGACTGATTCCATAAGTCGTAGTTTTTTGCTCCTCGGTTTTTCGGTTTGTCGCGAAACTAGCGACTTATCCATCTTATACCAAATGTTTGTGCAAACCAAAACGAGGGTCTTTCATAATTAATTGCCGGAAGTAAATTTCAGCCAATCACCGCTAATCATGCAGTATAGAAGATTTCACGCGTTCTGTCTGCTAGCCATGTTTTGAAGTGAAAATCGCTGCTGTTATTTGCGAAATGTCCACATAAGTGAAGTTGGTATTACCCGAAGAGATTCGTAATTTGTTTAAATTGTAAAAGCAGTGATAAAGACACAAGGAGATTGGGGAATGGGGAAGTCGTCTAAATTATTCTCGAGGCCTACGATGTACCCAAGGATGTGGAAGGCATCGAAAAAGCTTTCGTTTGTAATCGATGTTTTAAAGTATTGTTCGGCAGTTACTCGCGCAACACAAAAAGTAAAAACCTGCGCTGCCGCTTTCTGTGATCGTTGGAACGGCCCCATGAAAAATCTTCGAAAAAAGAGGACAAAACCTCGTCCAGTGTCTGATAAAGTCTCTAAAATCCTGTAAAGACCTACTTGATAAACATCAGGTGTCGCTCTCAGAAATAGCACATGTTACGGACCTTCTTAACTCTGCGTTTCCAACCGTTAACTTGGAATTTCTTTATAAATCCATTGTAAACTCATGAGCTACGCATTTGGGAGCAGATTTTAGTAGCATGGTCTCACTTAGTGAGCAGGCAAGACTTGACCTTTCAGATCATTAATAATATTGATAACTGAATATAATGGTAAATGCTTCCATGAGCCCCAAGTTGACCTTGTCGTTTTACAATCTGATGCTAGTCAGTTAGGATATGGTTGCCATTGTAACAGAAGATTTAGTATTGGGAATTGGTCCATTTCTGAATGTCAACATCATATTAACTACCTTTAACTTTCTCCAGTCTATTTACCCATTACATTTGCATGCCAAGCATATTCGTATTAAGCTTGACAATACAACAGCCGTAGCTTGTATTAATAAATTTGGTAGCATTAAATTTTCTCTACTCAATACTCTTACAAGGTCTATTTGGGATTGGTGTCTGGAGAGGTCTCTTTATATTTCAGCAGAATCCATTCCAGGCATTAGTAGCACCACTGCAGATTCACTGTCTCGCAAAAGTAAATCAAATCTTGAGTGCTCAAAAGATCAGAATGTATTCTGCAATTCTTTTAAGAATGTGTTCTCAGTAACGGTGAATTAAAAGTGAAAGTTGGTTCGATTGAGTCCCGACCAACTGTACGGCACCACTGTTTTAATACTACGAGTGTTTGCTAGTTTCCGTAGCGGCTCTCGATATCTAACCACWCAATAAACTATATATYAAATATTACAATGTAATAGTACSGTAGCGAATGAATACCTTTTTTGGAATTGTAGACAAACAAGGATAAATGAAACATACGTACAATCATTTTCGAAACGACTAATTATAGGCAGTTCGGCGAGTCTTCCTCATGCTTCCAACAATATCGACGACGAATCAAATTACTATTACTTTACAAATAGAATTTTAAGTAAACGATTTATGACTACAGGGCTGTTTTCGTTAAAATTGTATCATTTTAACTTCGATTTTAGACAAGCAGGGGCAAGCGCCCGCCAGTTAAAAGACAAGTCTAGGCACTATTAAGTACATTAGCACGCGTGTCCGAGTGGTAGTGCCTTCGATTTCCGACGCCGGCAGACGGTCCCAGGTTCAAGTCCCAGAGGAGTTGATATTTCTTTGATTTGTTTATTTCCCAAAAAACAAACAAATTCAATCAAATATAGCACAGGGAACCCGGTAACAGTAAATTAGTGAATAAATTACTCGAAAACAATTAGAACAACGCAGGCTAAGTAACGCGGGATCAAGTTTACAGGAAAGAGAGTGAGCGAGTGATAGATTTGTGCCCCTCACAAAAAACTCTTCGATTGCTTTGCAATCGTCGAGTTAAAAACTAAATAAAGTAAAAACAGGTGAAATCCTGCTTTAAACACACGTTTCTGCACGTGAATTTGGAGCTCTTTTGCATAAATACTTATTACTTATCTCACCTTGATGGCCTTAATTGTGACTCTACTGCAACCTCTTATGTCCAACACTCGAAGCTTGCTTGAAGTCTTCAGTAATCTTTTAATATCGAGACATAAAATGGTAGTTCAATTGGACAAGCTTTCAATGTACAAATCGTTTTATTGATAAACTTTGCGTGGCATTTAAGTTAATTAAGGGAAAAATTAAAAGAACAATTCATAGCTTGAATGTCAAATAAACACTTTAGCTCTTAGCTGCTCTTATTAGATTAGATGTTAGTGAAGGACTGCTTCTCTTAGTCTTGGGCTGACATTATTGGACGTGCCAGCAAGTAGACAAGGAATAGAGTCTGTCGTACGACTTCCATATATGGATGTACATATGCATSGCTCTGATGTACATATAGAAGGCTCTCGGGGCAAAAGAAACGGGTCAAAAAGTAATTTAAGTTGATCAAATCGTAATAATATTTTACTACATGATTAACAAGGGATTCATATTGAGAAAATATTTTGAAAATCGGATTTAATTTATGCATTTTATGGGGAAATCCGGTAAAACGTTTTTACAGCTATTTCAAACGAATTAAGCCTATTTTTTGCCGCGATATCTCAGGGACATAATTACAGGTTTTGTCTAACTATAACCAAAGTTTAGTCGAAATTCATTGAGGAAAGACAGCATCATACGGTCCTTAACTTGGAGCAAGAATTTTCAAAGAAATAGAGCGTATACAAAATCAARAATTCACATTTTACTTTGTATCAAATATATATTGACCGATTTCTGAAAAAGAACTTCCCTATCATATTGCTACGTTCATGCAGAGTTTCGGCACTGTATACCTATTCGTTAGGGAGTTAATGGTATGAGCACAAGGTATGTTTTTAGTGCATGCTAGCTTTTTTGAGACAAACAGACTCTGACTGTCTTAACTCGAAATCGAATCCTAGAATTTGCTTTAAATTTGTTGTCCATAAAGCCAAAACCTCTCTAGTGTTTTCGCAATAATTTTTTAAAAAACGCACATCTTGCATCACTGCAATTTCATCGTTACACCGCAATCTATGCAAGGGTAATAGTTGTCGTACGCCATACATTACTTAATTGGACAATTGATACATAAGATACATAATTCTGATTTAATATGAAACTACGCAGCAACATAAGTATTCTAAATGCATTTTGATATTTTCGGGAATACAGGGAATACAGGGAATACAGGGATTACAGGGAATACAGGGAATACAGGCTTAGCCTCTAATAAGAGAGAATACAAATTTGTGGAGCTATTGTAACGACAACAGACAAGTTGTATTCGGCAACATACAGATAGCCAGAATGCTTTTCGTCAGTAATGACATAATGTTCTTTTCACATGAGCAATATTTTGATGATTAGATGGAGTGTAAAGGCCGATTTAGACGGTACAACTTTTGCCTACAACAATCGCATGCAATCTGCGYAAGTCATCCTTACAACATGGCTACAACTGTCGTAGAGATTAAAAACAATTTTTTGATAACCCTACGACAGTTGTAGCCACGTTGTAAGGATGACTTACGCATGYTRCATGCGATAGTTGTAGGCAAACGTTGCACCGTCTAAATCGGCCTTAATAGTGTCTAACCYAAGCACCGGCTCCCTAGGRAAAAAWTAAGGAATACAAAGGGAGAGCCCTCTGTTTTTTCCCTCTTCCCGGGCCCCCTCGAAAGTCTGATAATCACGTTAAATAGTGTCCTTTACGGTTCCCTGCGCCATCTTGAAAGTYAGACCGMRTGYCTTTGCATCGAAGCGAGATGACCGGAATTGAGCGTGCAATGATATAGATACCTGTGAATTATTGTCTGGAAGTGTCAAAGAAGGTTTTTACGGTCATCTCGCTTCAAAGCAAAGGCACGGCTACCTTTCAACATGGCGCCGGGAACCGTGAAGGAGACTATTAGCATAAGAATTTTACCTGGTAATCAATGCGTCATTAATAGCTATTCCCGCTTGATTATCACATGCAAGTGAGAGATGTTCAAGATCAGGAAAACCATTTGCTCCACCCTGACATTAAAAAAACATCTGTCAATGAAAATGAATWGTTTATTGCACTATCTTGAAAAGAAGCCGGGTTTTCTTTCATTACTAGAGAGCTTAAGCACGACGTTCACGGCAAAAACGATCACGTGACCTGCTTTTTGGGGGTTTACCGTTACAGTTTCAACGCTAGAGTGGGTTATTTTGAGTTTGCCATAATCGCGAAACGATTATGACTACCTAAAGCACAATATCAGGCACGAAATTCTTAGGTCATTGGTTCAGCTCTGCCGTTAGCCGTAAACGTACATCATATAGTCATCATTCATCTCTTTAATTCTACAAAAAACAGAAAAACTTATAGCTGTCGGTTCAAGTAATTACAATTTTTAAATATACTGCCTGTGATGGATTTCTCAAGTGTAATCATACAAAACTCTTATATAGCACGCCCATGATTAGTCATATTATTATCTTCAGCTCTGTTCAGCTATAGTATCCAATGCTAACTAATAACACAATAAATTACAGTACCACAGGATTGAGGATACGGTAATTACATACATACATAAATATACAATATTTTTGCTGGTAGATAAATTTAATAGAAATTTTTCAACATTATAGCAATAAGTAGTCTTCTTGGTTTGGATGAGGTTTCAATTGATGAAAAACGTTATCTACAGGAGCTTTAGCAGAGTCATGCCAGAATGCGTCGACCTGGGGCATTAGGAGGCAAATACTTTCCATTATGAATGATCTGGCAAGCTACTCAGGAGTTTTATTATTCATTCCTGGTCTTACAAAGTACAGGTACACAGCAGGAAATTTACACCGCCTACAGTTTAACCTGGGCGTTTCTGTTCATGTCCAATCGTCCACTCGTATCCGGATAGACCGCCTTGACCACTTCCGGTCCTATATAACCTGCCTTGAAGTACGTAATATAATACGTACATGATGCTGTTGAATGTTCGCGCGTATTTAAATGTCGCTATTGAAAGTCGTTTCTCGCCATTGATGTTGCTTGCGGTGTTCAAGAAAGTACAATACAAGTTATTGAAGCATCGCTTGGCACAAATAAATGTACGTTTTACGCTAATGAACAGCAAAAGGTGTAGTTGACTTACTGAAACCTTATGTTCCATGTCGTACATTAAGATCGTCATCTAAGCTAATGTTAGTTGAACCTTCATACAATCCTAAGACATATGGCTTTAGAGCTTTTTCTGTCTGTGCTGCGAGGTTGTGAAATAGTATTCCATTAGAAATTAGACATAGTGACACTTGTGCTAGTTTCAAGAGTAAGCTTAAGACTTATCTTTTCAAAATAGCTTTTCATTAGTTTTGTATTTCTGTGAATAGTTTGCTTTTATCTAACTTGTAGATGAACTCAGAACAGGCGTGTCCATCGTACTCTCGCTCAAAGTATCTGGTGTACTGTTGGACAATAAGTCGTGGTATTGTATTTTGAATCGCTCAAATGATTGTCAAAACGCACTAAAGAATGTATTCTCGAATGGCTATGATTGTCCAAACACGCTATACACTGCCTATGTTTATGCTTATGACACTAATGAAGTTTCATTTTTGGTTGAATGATTGTCAATAAATGCAACCGTTTGTCAATTGGTACTATTGAATGTTCATTGCGCGCACATGAAACAACGTTCCACCCAAATGATTGTCCAGTCGTTCAGTTGATTGATAGGTGGCCTATTSATCGAGACAGACGTTTTCGAAGTAAAGTGACCCTTAGTAGTCCTTTGTAGTAATCTTACCGTTTTTGTATGTCTAGAATAAATGTAACATGGTTGAGGCCACAGGTTTGCAAGTAATAATGTTCTCAGCTTTGGACAATTTTCCTAATAAGAAATAAATATAAAAAAGTAAAGGTTGGTATTTCATGTTTTTTTTTCGCTCAGCGCCATATAGCCAGGGCATTTTACGAGACGAAAAACAATGCAAATATCTGATTTATTAGTGTGAATGTTCCAATATTACTGTAATATTAAATCAAAYCCAAGCATGCAAAGAAGATTTTTTGTATAGATTACAACATGACCGGCTGAGTTGTATAGGAATACAATCTCGAACCTCGGGCAATCCCCATACAACATGAACGCGAATGTTGTAAACGAATGCACGAACTTTAGTGAGATAAATGACGAAAAGTCACAAATAAATATAGAGTTCACTCGCTAATAAGCAATGCGCAATTCAACTGCAAAAGAGCACATTTTGAATAATTATCTGTCCCACATTAGTCTCCTTCGCAGCCTCCCCTTTTGTCKGGCTTCCTGTCCCTCCCAAAAGACAGGAAGGACTGGGAGGAAGGCCAATTTTTAAGATCTACAGTAAGTATGCAAGAATGCATTTATGGCTTTAACACAACCCTTAGCTAGATGGGAGTCAGAGTACTTGAATGATCTTAATTAAATTAATCAATTTTCAAGCAAAGAATAGAGTGCAAACAATATATCCATGAAATTTTGTACTATTCATTCCAATTTTTTTGTTCTGTTTTGTTGAGCTATACTGTATAGGACTATATGGCACAATTTACTGATTGGTGTTTCATGGTTCTATTGCTTGCACTCTAATGAAAACAGATCAAATTAAGCATTACCTGAAGGATTTCAATTTTGATCTGTCTAACAAGAGTACCAGACAGATCAAGATGCTGAATATTGGGGCAAAATTCCTGAATAGACAAAAATGGATTTATTAATTACATAACATACATTGAACATATAGATTAGGGTAGTTTTTTCACATGTTCAAAATTGTAATAATGGAATTACAACAAAAGACACAATCATGCATTCAATGAGTGATAAAGTGTAGAGTCATTGTGTTATTGAAAACCACTCTAATTTATTGTGATATTGCATTAAATCATATCTATTGTGCTACCTGAATCATGGGTAGAAGAATGGAGCCTGGGAACCCCTTACAATTTCTCAGCACCAATTCTTTCAAGYCATTCCCAAATTTGGTTAAAACATTTCTTAATGATCCATGATCAACCTAAGCATGTGACAATGAAAGGCAAAGTAAGTGAATTATTGTAGCATTGGCAGTGATAATGCACTTGCCCACTAAGAAGGATCTGTTGTACAACTTCCATATACAGTCACTTGTCTAAATGTTGTTGTTGATCAGGTTCATCACTACACATCTAGACCGAAAAACGATTACAGGTAAATTAATGTGAATGATTAATTGTTCTCTAYCAGATGATGACAATTTCACAATGGAAAGCAAACCAAGAGCCATTTTACATTATATTCCATCAGGTACTATGTCCAAATAGATTACTTTTGAGGWATTGCAAAGTAGATTGCTGTTATGTGATTGGTCAATTAGCATGACATGTGATAACTTAGCATATGCAACTGAAGTTCATTCCAATAAAGCATGCTCTGAGACACAACACACTAGTTTGTTCTTAGCATATTGTTACATGGTGGCAGTAGGTAAAACATAGATAGACAGCACAGACTGAGAGATGAGAGAAACCTCAAAGTCTAAATGAGCAAAGAGTCCTGCAGAGACGCCCAGACCGCCAATTATGCCGATACATGGAATCCATCCGCCTTCCGGGCTGAATGTAACAGGGAAGAACAAGGCATCAAAGTTTATAAGCAACAACGGCAAAATTATTCAATTGTGACAAACCTCAACCAGCAGACAGAGGAGTATCGAGTAGCATTGTTCCTGTACTCAATTGGAACGGAGGCTGTGAAGACCTACAACAGCTTCGCCATGACAGCCGAGAGACACGCGAGTCTCGATATCAAAGAATTTGATGCAATAGGAGAAACGAATGAAACGTATTACGTATTCAACAGTCGCGACCAAAAAGAAGGTGAAAGTATTTTATAAATACATTGCTGAACTTAGAACTTTGGCGCAATTATGCAATTTCTGCGTTTGTCTTCACGATTCATTAATAAATAGAGCGTTTAAAAATTGATTCCAGCCAGACAGAATTGCCTTAGGAATACGTGACGCCAACACACGACAACGCCTACTACGACAAACTAAGCTCAGGTTGCAAAAGTGTATCGAAATCGTGAGGAGCGACGAAGTCTCTACAAAGCAGATCAAGGACATGGATCATTCAAGCAAAACGGAGGAAATCCATAACGTACAAGCGACGAAAAAGCACAAAGATTCAAAGAAGAAAACAAAGCCATCAGACCGTGACAGCCGACATTCATGTGGTTATTGTGCCCGGTACTCCCTCCAAACTTGCCTCAAAACCCTGACCCTGACCTTTTCACCCAGCATCGATAATTCCGGAATTAAACGCTGACCCTGTTCCAGAGAAAAATCGGTGAAATCGATACCCTGTTCCAGAGTAAAATCGCTAAAAACGGTAGCCTGTTCAGAGTAAAATCGCTAAAAACGATACCCTGGTTGGCGGCACGTCCCCGTATAGCGAATATAGGGGAGTGAACATGTTGTTGTCAATTTTACCCCATTTACACGAGCAATTATTCCCTGTCAAGGAAAAATTGCTCGTGTAAACGGCGCTTAATACAAGTTCGTCAAGAGAACATTGCGTGAAACAATATCATCGATAAAAGCGACAGAAAACCAAAAGACAGCCAAAGAGATAAAGAGATAATCCAAGAACACAAAGACGTGAGGGACAGTTAGGAACTTTGTCAGGCGAACAACACCTAACAATAGATACGTCAGTGACTCCAACTGTATCACTGTCAAGAAAGGTCGCTTTYTCAGATAAGCCTAAGCTAAAGGCAGAGTTAAGGAGACTGACGGAGCTAGGAGTACTAGCATGCCACCTGTTGATGGCCCAACGAATTGGTTCGAATTGGTAATCTAGTGATCTCTCACAAGGAGTCTGGAGACTTAAGGTTATGCTTAAACCCAAAGCAGTTGAATRAARCACTTCTTAAGGCTGATTTACACGGCACGATTGTCTCGTGCGATTTGTAGTATACGACTTGAATCGCGCTGTGTAAATGCCCCTACGACTTGTCTACAACAGTCGTACGCAACCTACGACTTGTAGTAGGATTTTGAACCACTGTTTAAAATCCTACGACTTGTAGTAGGAAAATCGTATACTACAAGTCGCGCGCGACAAATCGTACCGTGTAAATCAGCCTTTAGAGAACGGTATCCACTACCATCATATCTTACCTGATCTCGTACATGCAAAGTTATTCACAAAAGTAGATGCCAGAAATGGATATTGGCACGTGAGGCTCGATCGAGAGTCTAGTTTGTTGACTACGTTTGACACACCATTTGGACTATTCCACCGTCATCAAGAAACTCAAATGCCACTTCACAAGAAAGGCATTTCTGACATAGCGATAAATTGAAGGCATTTGCAGTGGAATGGGGATTTAACCATTGCCCAGAACGTTCCGGACACCAACAATCCAATGGACGGGCCGAAGCAGCCGTAAAAGATGCTAAACTTCAGCATCTTTTACGGATGCTTCGGCCCGTCCAAGACGACTCCTAAAGAAGGCAAAGAAGACCGGAGGTGATGTATATTTAGCCTTGCTGGATCTTCGTAACACTCCCAYAGAGTCTATGGACACTAGCCCAGCCCAAAGATTGCTAGGCCGAAGGTGTAAGACTCGACTACCGACAACCAAGCAACTACTTAGGCCACAAGCCTTATATCCTGAGTCTGTAAAGAAAGAGACCAAAGCAAAACAGCTAAAGCAGGCAAAGTACTATAACAAAGGAGCTCGGGATCTAAAGCCACTAGAAGAAGGTGATGAAGTACGGATGAGGCCATTCCGCCTTGGCAAGAAAGACTGGGAAAAGACAATCGTGGTTAAAAGGCATGACGAACGATCATCTGAAGCTGATGTACGTGACATAATTTCTTCATCTTCGAACGCTAGTTGTCAGCTAGATCCTATTCCCACATGGTTGCTGAAGAAGTGTATCGATGTACTCGCACCTATCATTACTAGGATGATCAACTTATCTCTGGTCAGCGGTAGTGTACCTGAAAATTGGAAGGTCGCACTTATTTCACCATTACTTAAGAAGCCTGGTCTTGAACTTGTGTATCAAAACTTTCGTCCGGTTAGCAACCTTCCCTTTATTTCTAAAACTGCTGAGAAAGTAGTGATACCGCAGGTTCTCGCCCACTGCTCTGAGCATGCACCTCTACCGAATAATCAGTCATCCCATCGACAACATCACTCGACTGAGACTGCCTTGCTTAAGGTACAGAATGACATTCTCCTCAGCATGGATAGGAAAGAAGTTACTTTGCTCGTCTTGCTCGATCTTAGTGCGGCTTTTGATACGATAGATCACACTATCTTGGCAGACCTTCTAGAGCGTGACTTTGGCATCAGTGATCTTGCCCTCTCCTGGATAACATCATTTATGCGTGGGAGGGTGCAACGTGTAACCATCAAGCATGAGCAATCTCGGGACTCCCTTTCTAGTGGAGTTCCACAAGGTAGCTGTTTAGGCCCTTTGTTATTCATCATGTACGCTTCTCGGTTGTTTCACGTGGTGGAAAAGCACCTGCCCTCGGTACAAGGGTACGCTGATGACACTCAACTCTACCTTTCATTTCGCCCTACGTCCACCCTTTCACAAGATCAAGCGATCCGAGCTATGGAGGATTGCATCGCTGATGTTCGAGCTTGGATGGGCCATAATATGTTAATGCTTAACGATAGCAAGACGGAATTTTTGATTATCGGTTCCCGTCAGCAACTCGCAAAGATTAGTATGGGCTCTGTTCAAGTCGGTGATTCTGAGATTGTGTCAACCTCGTCTGTCCGCAATCTTGGGGCCTGGTTCGACAAGAATATGTCAATGGATGCGCATGTTGGGAAGGTCTGTAGTAAGGCCTTCTTTGGTCTTTACAAGATTAGGCAAATAAGGAAGTTTCTAT